TATAAATATTCCATAATTTAATTTACTAAAAACTTCTGCGCTTTTGATAGTAATAAATTCTGTGACGCGTCAAAATTAAAATGTTTATTTAAAAGTGTCGATTCCAATTATGTGCTGAAGAAACAAAACTATAGTAGATTATAACATGTTGTATTTTGATAATATCGTTCAATACAAGAAACGCAAGATCTTTAAATCGAGTTTAGTCAAATTCGGTACTATTCGTACTACCTGGAGAGAACAAAGAAATATTCCAATTGCTGAAACCAATAGCGCTCAACGAGGTGGAAGTTGTCATTTTTGCGCCACGCTCCGATGATTGCTTCTCCTGATCGTCTCTCGTTCGCGACATCTTCGTTCTATTTGAAATTAACCGTTCAAACACGATTCGTATTAAAATGCAGTCCGACGCGAAGCAATCGTTCCACAAGTGCTTCTCCGATCGTGTCCGCTATATCTCGATTAAATTTCATTCCCATTCAAACGCTCGCGAAGTGGAATTCTCTTTCTCCCCTTGATATTCTATCTTTTCTTCAATTTTATCGATAAAAGATTATATCAAGAAATTATTTAGAGGATAAAGTCCAATAATCAGAGCTAGAATAATGAACCGGTATCTTGCTAAAAACTTCTACGTTGTAAGTTATTTTTTGTTACAAAATTTTCCATGATAGGATTATTACCTTTGTATTGAGTTTAATTTTTAAATATAAAATATAAAAAGTTTATCAAACATTAAATTTACATTATCTTTAATTTAAAACAATAAATAAAAATAAAATGTGTACAGCAAATATTGCACATTAGATGTATCTAATCGAGATTTGAAAAAAAGAGAATATAATTTAATAATAAATTAATTCAGAGATTCAATATTTTAGAATTTAATTCAATTACTGATTAATATAATTTATAATACAAAAAAAAGAATGTTTATAATCAATATTATGTTTATTTGCAATAGCTTCCTTCCATTTCTTGATTTTCCAACCTCTTGATTTCTTTGTCTACACGATAAATGAGCTCAAGAAAAATATATGACGGTCTATCTTAGCCATCTTTGTTTGCATGGTCCTTAATAAGAGTCATTTCGCGCGTCGCAGGACTTCGTGCCCGCAGTCGTAGCTTATTTAGCCAACTGTAAAAACAGATCACATTCTCGTGCTAAAACTAACTCGCGTAAAACTTGATTCACAGAACGACAGAATGTTGGAAAATTTTTCTTTTGAGTTTTCCTTTCATGCCAACTAACAAGCATCAAAAACAAATCTCATTTTTATTATTATGTTAAAACAAAATATTCAGATGTACGGTCTTAAGGATTTTTTTTTAGATTTATAATTTGCAACAAAATTCAAGACAGAAATTTATAATTTTATGTATACTTTGATATATATTTTGTGTGTACATATACTGATAAATTTCTGTTCACGGTTCTTTTTTCTCAGATTATCGTAATAATTTTAACTACTATATATATTAATATTTTATAAAAGCTTATTAAAATTTATTCAAAACTCAATTTATACCATCCATAATAAAAAGTTGGAAATATTTTGTTCTCTTACGAAAGTCTTAAATTATATTCTTTGTTCTTCTGCTAATCTTTTATTTAATTTTAAAATATAATATGTATAGATTAAAGCTCCAATCTTTGTGATAAAATGTATTGTATTTGCTATGCATTATTCTGTTCTTCTTTGGACACTTAGCTTGTATTAAACGAGACTATCAAAAGCTCAGAAGTGTTAATATTGTCCTAAAATATTCAAATTTTAAATAAATATTGAATTTATACATATTCCACAAAAAATTCATCATTATTTAATCTTAACCCATCTCAGCAATTTCGTATGATTCGTCGAAATCAAGTGCTCGTCGGAAATATTCCGTTCTTTCAAAAAGTCTTTCAACAATTAACTCTCCTTTTCGGGAAGTACTCTTTAATTTTGTGATATAATGGATTAAAATTTGGTGTCTGTTGCGCTGACTCTGCTCGAATTATTCTTCAACATTGAGTTCGTTATGCGAGATGACTCGCGCGCAAAAGGATCTAAGAGAGAGAGAAGACGGAACGCGCCGATGACTTTCAGTATATTTTAACAAAAGATGAGAAAGGAAACGAGAAAGGTGCAAAGGGATTCGCGCGAGAGAAAGTAATTTCATCTTCACATATGAAAACGGAACGGCGAAGGATCGCGCTGTGCTATAAAATGAAACGGCGCTGTACGAGGCATTCAAATTTCCAAAAGTTTATTTCGCCGACTGCACTGCAGTTGCAACGAGACCAGATTGCGCGACACGCGGGTTTCGCACATCTTTTTTCCCTTTGTTTAATTTATTTGATGAATTTTTTGTTTTGTGTCGTCGCGCCGAGTGTCCGTCCAATTTATATATATACATAAATGTGTGTCTGCGTGTTAAAAAGAAACGACATAATTTTGCATACTTTTCCACATTACTGGACGGATATATAGATGGTGATTATTTATTTATTTAAAAAGAATTTATATATATATATATATTTATTTATTTATTTAAAAAGAATTTATATATATATATATATATATATACAAAAATTCTTTTTAAATAAATAAATAATCAGCATCCATATATCCGTCCAATAATGTGGGAAAGTATACAAAAATATTTTATAAAATCAGGAAAGGAAAGTAAGGTAGTAATTTAAATGTCACATATTCTTTGATATTGTGATATCCTCAAGGTATGTTAATATTAGTTAATAATTGTACATTACCATGCTATAAAAATATTACGAAGAAAATCGCAGATTATTACATTTTTATTTTATAGATAAGAATCTTGCACACGTTATTTTTGACTTGGCGACACTAAATTAATATTAAAATTAATATAATATATAAAATTATGTAATATCTAATTTAATAATAATTATTTATATTCAAATTAATATAAGATAATTAAATATGATTGGCGTGTGCGATTTTATTTAATCTATGGAAATTTTATCTTTTATATATTTGAAAGTCTGTATCTTTTCTTCAAAACTTAATTTGACGAAATGTTTCGTCGTTACCATTGCTATAAAATTTTATTAGAGAACGTCGTTGAGCAAATCGATTATTATAATTATTCATCGACGAAGAGGAACAGGTCGAAGAAATGTCGATGGCATGAGGTCGCGAATTATGATCATGATAATGGACGTATAATTTATATTGAAATTAATATAATAATTGATACAAAAAAATTAAATACGATTGTCGTGTGCGATTTTATTTAATCCATGGAAATTTTATCTTTTTAAATTCAAAATGTTAAATAAAAAATTTATAGAAGTCTCTACCTCTTCTTTGAAACTGAATTTGACGAAATATTTCGTTGTTACCATTGCTATAAAACTTTGTTAGAGAACGTCGTTGAGCAAATCGATTATTATGATTATTCATCGACGAACAGGAACAGGTCGAAGAAATGTCGATGGCATAGGGTCGCAAATTATGATCATGATAATGGACGTATAATTTATATTGAAATTAATATAATAATTGATACAAAAAAATTAAATACAATTGGCGTGTGCGATTTTATTTAATCCATGGAAATTTTATCTTTTTAAATTTTAAATGTTAAATAAAAAATTTATAGAAGTCTCTACCTCTTCTTTGAAACTGAATTTGACGAAATATTTCGTTGTTACCATAGCTATAAAACTTTGTTAGAGAACGTCGTTGAGCAAATCGATTATTATGATTATTCATCGACGAAGAGGAACAGGTCGAAGAAATGTCGATGGCATGGGGTCGCGAATTATAATAATGATTATGGACGTAAGAACGAGGGTTTGGATTTCTCCGGAGTGGCAAAGAAGCGGTGTATAACGATGTCGCTCTATCCGGGTTTGTTCTGCCCTACTTCGTTCTCAGGGGGCGGCTTTCGTTCATCCTTATACTTGCCGATCCTTCTATGGATCGGATCAGATTACCAGCCGCGCCGAGGCGCTTTGCCCGGAGAAATGCGGGTTTCCATTGCACCGAATCGGGGCGACCGACGTAAGGGGATTGAAGGTAACGACGAGCGTTGCAATATCGGCTCCCACGTTTTGTCCTTTTTCCCTACGCTACCGTTTTTCCCACTTCTCTATCCCTCGACCGTGCTTTCCTTGGTTTAACATACGGTTTGGCCGGCCTTCTTCATTTCGCTTCGGTCCGGCGCGATTTCGCCCCCGAAATAGGATTCTCCGGTGAGAGAGGACCGTGAAAAGGGATGCAAGGAAAGGAGCCTTCAATTTATTCCCTTTTCGGACGAAGACTTTCCAGTTTACTCTCGCGTGCGCGAAACCTTCTACACGTCTATGCAACCCGAATGCGAGTTCTCGGATTAATTAAGCTTGTAAAAGGTTGAGTTTACTATGTGCCTCGTAAATGAAGCGATAAATATTTCAAGTTTGTGTGCCAGCTATGACTAATGCTGAAGTAAAAAGCTTTGCGCTTATAATCTTTGCTTCTTGTATTGTTATTAAGGAGAAAAATCTCCTTAAAAGTAAGTGTGAATTATTGCGGTAAATGTCACACGCGTATAAATCTGCGTGTTAAGTTTATCGCATAAATTTATATAAACTGACTATAAATAAAATGTTCTGGCGTAGAATATATAATATAATGACTCACTGTCAAAAAAATATCAAATATATTTTATTGTTTCTCTTTTTTGTCGAGAAAATTCAATATTAAAAGTTACTATTATAAATACTACTATAAATGTTATATATAAAATGTAAATTTAATTCTCTTCGTTGAGAAAATTAAGCTCACAAAATTAAATAATCCGATTATTTAATATTTTATCAGAGATTATAAAAAAAATTTTTTTTATCTGTATCTATATATATTTCATTGATCTATATTTATACTGATAATCCAAACATTATATAGGTTTCAAAAAAAAGCTTTCTTAAATGATCAATAAATGCAATAAAGAGATTCCAACAATTTTAATCAATATTAAGATTCGCTTACCTGTAACGACGACATTGATTTTTTTAACCAGCACTGGATGCGTGGCGACTTGGCACTTATATAATCCCGAATCGCGCGGGTTCGCATATAATATCTGCAATCTCCAATTGCTGGGATATCTGCAAAATCAGACGATGAGAGATAATGAGAGAAAAAAATAAATTCGATCGAACTGAGGGCGGTAAAATAAAAATGAAAAATGTATTTTCTAGAGTCGCTGATGCAGATATACATTTAAAAATTTTTGCTACGAAGCAACTGGGATGTAGATGAAGGAAAATTGTTATTACATATATTATTTTCTAGCACAGGTTTCTCATAATGTCTCGCTTCACCGGATCGAGATTAGTGTTGCGAGGCGGAACCGCGTTACAACGAGACAGTTTCTTCTGATTTTTACAGCGTATAAAATGGCTGATTTCATCACGGCGAAGAAAAATGGAAGCAGAATTTCTCTATCCCCACGAACAGCGCAATCATTCCGACGATGATGAAAAACGACCGCGATCGTAATTCGACGCTGACGATGGGATTATGCGGTTCACTGCCCGAACTACAGCAAATGATAACGAATTATGATAATATCGTCGACAATTTCGCTGAATTTCACGTCGTCATTATAATCAGACTCTGTTATTCGGCGGTAAACTTCTACTTTAGAGATGATAAAAATACGCGAAAGAAATCATCGACTTCGCGAATTTCTTAATAAGGTCGACGTAGATGGATGTAGGAAGGATTTATTATGACTTACCGAAAATTAAGACTGATTCTTTGGTCGTTGCTGTACGGCAATCTGCCCACTGTCAACAGACGAAACGAATCATCCTTACCATGTTGCAGCCACGTCACCTGCAAATAAAGAGCGACATTATTTTAATTATCGTCTTTAATAATTCTTGAAAAAATTATTAAAATAAAATTATCATTGCTTTATATATATTTTTTAAATTAAATAATTACAGACAGTACATTTTTTGTATACTTTATATAGATCATTGAAAAATATATCTATATATCCTCTTGAAATATTAACTGTGTCTCTCGCTGGGAAATGCGATAGAACGGTCTCAAGAGACAAAGAGGTCGCATTGGAAATTAATAAGTCTATTTGCTCTGATATCTCTTAAACAAGGTATGATGCAATTTCCGTTCTCGGCGTATGTCCGTTCGTCAACAATGAATGCAACGAACAATTTCCGCGGAGATCCGATCAGATGAATATTCATTTAAGGCTCGCTCATACGATACTACTATTAATAATACTATAGAAAAATTAAGTGTGTGATATGAAACTTATAAATAATTTTTCTTACAGAGAAAAGTTCTTCAAGAAGAAACAAATGTGAAGATCTGACTTTGTTGAGAGAGTTAATCTTGATAAAATACTTTTATAAAGAAAAAACCATTTTTTATTTTACATACTTTATATATAAAACCTTTTATTAAACTCTAATTAATTTGTGATTGTCGTCAAGTATTCAATATTGTTTACTATCTCCCTTAAAACGAAGATAAAAACATTATTATCAATTTTTAAATCTAAATCAAAATTTTTTTCAAATTTAAGGATTACAAAATAATGTAAATGCGCTTTTATATTGTTTGTAACAACGATATCCGTTGTTCTCTTTTCGAAGCTGTCTCTAAAGATTCGGCCTTATATCATACATGCCAACCAGCACAATAACGGGATATCTGGGGACGAGTTATCAGGGTTTGTCATCGAGGATAGACCGAACAATCTATCTTGTGAAAATTTAACGCCCGCGACAGAAACATTAACCGTTCGGAGGATTTGGTAGACGCGCCGAATTACGTTACGGTGAATTTCTCATCGAAGGAAGCGGAGAAAATAATTTCTGGATAAGTGGGGCGGCTCCTTACGCTGCGTGCCGCCCGAATTAAATTTGTCGCTCGCCAGAAAAGTTATTTTGCTGGAAGTCGCCGAGTTCGAGAAGAGCCGTTTCAGTAGTCTTTAATGTAACAGAATTAACGAGAGTGCAAAACTTTTGTTTAAGAGAGGGAAACGTGACGAGAAGGAGGAAAATGTGCAAAAGAAATTTTAAACTGAACCGCCCTGGATGTAAACATGTTTTAATAAATGTTAATAAATTGTATGATATATATTACGTCACAAAATGAAATAATAAGCAATTTTAATTTTTTAATTCTTGCGTTTAACATCAAAAATGTTTATTAATTTTAATTAATTGTACCATTCTAGTTTTTCCGCTTGAAAAGGACCAAAAACAGATGATCGAAACGTTGTGGAAATAAAATAAAAATTTCTTGGCTAGTTTGAGTCGAATTAAATATATCGTTTCAATTTTAATTTTGTTATATTTTGTAATTAAATGACACGTTATAATGTAAATTATTAAACGTTTTTATTTTAAGCATCCTTTTATTGCAAGATAAAAAAATAATGTCAGGATCAGAATTTGAAATGTTTTGAACAGAACGCTTTCCTGTTTTTCATCTTTTATGAGAAAGCCTTGCAGAATCTCCGTGAAATTATTCAGCATAATCGCAGATCCGCACAATACGCTCGGTATAAGTGAAATGGATTTTGTGTGTCAGACTTATATCAGTGTTATTCCACTTAAAAAATTGTGATCGCGCGTAAATATTTAAGACGGACAAATATTTCCCGGTTCTCCCTTAAACAGTCATTTTACGGAAAAGCCAGGGTGGGAGCAACTTGGCAAACAGCACGGGGCCGATGTTTTATAATTAAGTTCCCTTCGAGTTGTTTGCCATTCTCGGAGCGGGCGACGTGCCTCGCGCATACACATATATAATACCTACGACAAAATACGCGCATACACGCACGTCGGAATCAGAGAAGCATTCGTTCCTTGGCGCGCGCCCGTGTATCCCACCGCAATCGGTTTCGCATTACGTATTCCGCGGAATATGAATCCCACGGGAATCCCGAGCACTCTGCGTCCCGAGCGGTCCGAAACTTTGTGCCATGCCGTCCCGACGTAGAAGAGCAAAATGGACGTGGAAATCACGCGGCCGAAAGGGACAGGAGAAAATGGCGAGAGAGAGAGAGAGAAGGCACTGATTGAAATGCGAAAACTTTCGCAGCGACAAGACGGACGAGAGTGTACACGCGGCGGACACTAACAAACGATGTTTGCAATTATAATCCACGCCTCACTTCGCTCGCGACTGCATCTTTCTCACATCGTGGCTTCTCGCTCATCTGAGCCTTTCCCTCGATTCGCACGATTTGACAGAGAGAAATGGGCGGTTTCCCTAATTGAATTAGTGAAGTTCGCGCGCAATCGGTATTGCCTTAATCTTGGAAATTTTAATTAACGCATGAATTTGGCAAGCTAAAAAATATCTGCTGACAATTATATTATTTTTCTGCGAGGAGAAAAAATAGTGTGATAACATTGTTCGATAAAAAAAAGTTAAATACGAAAAAAGCTGAATACGAATCTAATTTCCAAATTATTCCATCAGAGCTTTGAGAAATTTTTCATTACATTTGCAAAAAGAGCTTTCTCTTCACGAACTTTGTTATATTATAGCTACAATATGTGGGGACGTGCTAGAGAAGTTTTATCGCGATTGAAATAAAACATATTTTAGGACTTTTAATCCTCAAAAAGAATTTTTGACGTTGGTTATGGTTAATAAGATATCCTTTTACGCAATTTTAATTAAAAATTTCTCAAAATTGTAACGTGATGAAGCAATTTGAAAATTAAATTCGTATTTAGTATTAAAAAAAAACCTATATTATACTAAAAAGATATATAAAAATATTGAAATTTATATTATGATGTACAAGCCTCGATTAATATCAATAGATACATTATAAAATTAAATGGCTACACATTCTTTCATCAACCAACGCATTCATAATTTCCGCCACAGCTTGAATTATCGCGACAGTCTGTCGTCGATGAAACGAAAGTGTCTGACTCGACAATCTCGACCCTCGTCTCTCATTATAATTCGCCCGTTTGTCACGCAACGTCGTTGATCGCAAACTTATAACAAGATTCATTCAAACTCCCATTTCGCTTTTATTATACATTCCAACGTTTCTCTCGCATCAGTCGTTACGGGGAAAAAATTAACGAGACTATATCGACAAAGGAAAAAAAAATGCGACTCACCTGTTTATCGCCCAACATGCCGATTTTACAGTCCAGCAAGACGGTGCTGCCGATCCGCGCGGTGACGTTGATCTCTCGATCGCCGTCCTCGAAGTACGGGCCGAATTTGCCGAAGGCGCTGTCGACGCTGGGCAGAACGAACTTCCTGCCGGACAGGGTCCTGTGAGTGGTCGTCAGGAACTGATGATCGCGACCGCGATCCGTCTCGAGCGTCCTGATCGACGGTTTGATCTCGTAGAAGGCCTTCGTCGACTTGCCGGTCAGCAGTAGATTGTTCGCCGGTCTCGACTGATTCTTCCTCGTCTCGCCGAGCTTTTGCGTCTCGTCCATCTGGCCGACGTTGGTCTTCCCCTGCTGTCGAGCGTCCTGATAGTCCTCCTCCTCGTTCGGCGGCGGCACTTGGAACGAGATCGCCCTGATGTCCTCCACGTTTCTCTGGTCGCTTTCGTATTTCGAGACGTCTTCCTCCTTCAACCCCACCGGCGTCAACGTCAGCCATTCGTCCTTCGGCTTTTCGATCGCGGACTCGTTCGCTCCTCGAGAATCCTCAGCGTGCTCCAACATCGCTGGCGCCTGTTCCGAGTCCTCGAGCCTCTTGAAGGCGAATACCATCTGATTGTCGACGTATCTCTTTGACGTATTCTCGAAATGAGCTTCGATCACGGTAACGAGCGAGACCGGATACTCGAGCGCACGGGCGGAAATAACTTCCTCGAAGGCCGCTGTATTGTTACCGCGAGACCAGCTGGAGGCCTCGAAGGTGCGGTTCGTCGCGATCCTTTCGTCGAGACGCTGATCTTCCTCCTCGAGATGATTCACGCCGCTCTCGGTTTCTGCGTTAGAAAAGCAAATGTTAGGACGAGTTAAATCGCCGCCGATTTATATACGCGCGTGCCGGAAAATGCAAAGGGTGAACACAAGTTCGTCGACCGTGTTAAGGGAGAATCGACACGCCGACGAGGCGGAGCGCCTCGCTTCGTCGGGATTTATGGCCTGGAACGGGGTAGGATGATCTCCCGTCGGGTGAGGATTTAAATGAGGACGTAAGAAGTGCGGCCGAGAGAGTTTTATGGGGTGTTCAAGAGAGCTCTCGAGGGAGAGTCGAGAAATGGCCAATCAAAATCTCAGATCTAAGGATGTTACATAAAGTCAGAAAATTCGTGTATATTCGAATCGTTTGTTTTCAAAATGATGGAAAAAATATCGTCTTATATACAGGTCAGGACATTCATTAAAATCAAGTGTATAAAAAATATAACTAATAACCAATATATTTATTCCGACACGGTTTTTCAACCGTGTTTATTTTTAACATTTTTTCAATTGTGCACAAGATCTAACACAAAACTGTCAAAAAACCCAAAATAAAAAATCTGTGCTGGTACACATTGAATAAATCGGCCTGAGTTGGCAGCCATATCGGTTACATTTTGTTACGCTTGACATGATAGAAGTGCCTTGAAAAACATTGCCAGCATTATTACTGTATATTGTATTGTATATATAATTTTAAAAAATTTAATAAACTTAAATTTATTTCACGTAATATATACAAAATAATTAATTATGTAATATCATTTTGTTTGATTAAAAATTGTCACATGTTTCGAAAAAATTGGAAATAATACAAACGCCTATACGCGACATTTACTTGAAAATATTCCATACGATGAGAACCACATGATAATAACGATATGTAATTCCTTTGTGAGCGGGACAGCGATGCGTATTTTCACGAAACAAAAGTGCCGCAGGTTCACTTCCGCAGGAATTTCATTTTGCGAACGCGCGTATCATGGACCGCGGTTTTATTCGTAAAAGCACTGGCAAAGTTTCCGGTGTAAGGTTTCGTTTTTCCCGCATGGTTTCGATCGCGATCGGAGTCCATGAGGAAACTCGCGATAAACAACTCTCGTGGAAACTTCGCCCTATACGAGCTTCATTCCGCCATCCAACAAAATTTACTTTACTGCGATGAGAAATTTCCCTCTATGCGAATACAAATCTACGCTGTCATTAAATACAAATAATGACTTTTTTTTACAGAAATGTATTGCGATAACAAATTTAAAGTTAAAGAATATTCTTTATCGATCATTACAACATTCATCGAATATTTCAGGTCAATATAAATGAAAATTTGTACAAATTGCCCAACTAATAGACATATTCAATTTAATTAACGCGATTCAATCGATAATTATTCATTTCGATATGTGTAGAGTAGTATAAAATATATATATGTAATTTCTAACTAAATTTTGTAGCGAGAGGAAATTCTCTAATATATTACATAATTTTTGGTCTATCTAAATAAATTCAACTCGCATCCATTGAAAAAAAATAAGTAATAACGTTTTAAAGAGATGGAACTTTTGCGTCGCTGTGTTAGCTATTGAGAACAGCTTTGTGTCAAATGCAATGAGACTGTATCGTGGAACATATAGATTCGTCGATGCTCTGATGGGCTTCGCGCGCTATCATCACAATCCTATTTACGCAAGTGGATATTGCTCTCTGCAGTAGTAATGGCCGCGATGAATACAGCTCCACGGTAGCTCTACCACGTTGAGTATGGGAGGATTATAAGATTGCTATCTGTCGTGAGACTTCTATCAGAAAGCGCATTATCCTCCTTTGTATCTCCTATTCTTGCCGTTATCCAAGAACAGCCGTAGACTTTCATGTGTAGCTTTTCAAGCGCGTTCGCTCTTCAATTTTCTATTTCGTCACGAGACGTTATGCCGGTCTTTCTCCCTTCGCTATCTTTGTAACTGGCGGAAAATTGAAAATCACGAGAAAGAAAAAAGAGCCCGGAAGGAGTGTCGTATACTTTTCTATTCCATTATGTTAAGCCTTTCAATCTTTCTTCTCCGACTTACGTTTTAATACAAGTCTCGAACTTGTGAAACTGTTAATAATATTTTTTTTAATTAAATTTATTCTCAATGATTTATAAAAGTCATTATAATTCAGAGAAAATTTATCATTTTTAGTTCCTTATAATTTTAAATATTATATTTAATATCCATTAAAATATATATATATCGATTATTTCTAAATATATCTAAATTTCTTTTTCGAATAAAAAACTTGGATTTATATCACATACACTCCAGTCTACCAGCTATGGTATGTCCACATCGTTAGTTTTCGATATATAGGTTCGTGAAAATGTCGAGAACCTCCGATCTCGCCGATTGTCCGGAAGCTGCGCAAACGTCACCAAGCCGATATATACCTCGATATTTGACGACGGAGATCTTGTTTACGCGAATCGATATTGCCGACCATGCCGATAGCACCGGCTGTAATGGCAATAGCAACGGCGGCAGCAACGACAACGTGACGTTCGTCGTTCGTCGTTCGGAAGCAATTTACCGCGCGCTTTGCGTCGCGAGTGATCGATCGTGTCGAGCAACGTTGTGTAATTTTGGTCGCCGACGACGTTTCGTAATGATTTATAAAACGGCAAACGTGGGCGCGATGCGATTTCTGCGAAAAATCCAGAAATTGCTACATACTTTCGTGCTCGAGTCTCGTTTTGCACAAAAATCAATATATTACGATTTATTTGCTCCGTGCTTTTTAATCCTCGGGAAATTATTTGTTAAACGGCGAACGTGTAAAGAATCATTTTCGCAAAATTTTAAAGATTGTCAGATTTTTCTCAATAACTGACTCTCTTGCTTACGAGCAAAATCATTCTATTTCCTCTATTTTTTTCAAATCAAATTATAGTGTATATATAATAATAATAATAATATAATAATAATAATTGCTACATACTTTCGTGCTCGAGTCTCGTTTTGCAGAAAAATCAATGTATTACGATTTATTTGCTCCGTGCTTTTAATCTTCGGGAAATTATTTGTTAAACGGCGAACGTGTAAAGAATCATTTTCGCAAAATTTTAAAGATTGTCAGATTTTTCTCAATAACTAACTCTCTTGCTTACGAGCAAAATCATTCTATTTGCTCCGTTTTTTTAAATCAAGTTATAGTGTATATATAATAATTATAATAATATAATAATAATAATTGCTACATACTTTCGTGCTCGAGTCTCGTTTTGCAGAAAAATCAATGTATTACGATTTATTTGCTCCGTGCTTTTAATCCTCGGGAAATTATTTGTTAAACGGCGAACGTGTAAAGAATCATTTTCGCAAAATTTTAAAGATTGTCAGATTTTTCTCAATAACTGACTCTCTTGCTTACGAGCAAAATCATTCTATTTCCTCTATTTTTTTCAAATCAAATTATAGTGTATATATAATAATAATAATAATATAATAATAATAATTGCTACATACTTTCGTGCTCGAGTCTCGTTTTGCAGAAAAATTAATGTATTACGATTTATTTGCTCCGTGCTTTTTAATCCTCGGGAAATTATTTGTTAAACGGCGAACGTGTAAAGAATCATTTTCGCAAAATTTTAAAGATTGTCAGATTTTTCTCAATAACTGACTCTCTTGCTTACGAGCAAAATCATTTTATTTGCTCCGTTTTTTTTAAATCAAATTATAGTGTATATATAATAATAATTGCTACATACTTTCGTGCTCGAGTCTCGTTTTGCAGAAAAATCAATGTATTACGATTTATTTGCTCCGTGCTTTTTAATCCTCGGGAAATTATTTGTTAAACGGCGAACGTGTAAAGAATCATTTTCGCAAAATTTTAAAGATTGTCAGATTTTTCTCAATAACTGACTCTCTTGCTTACGAGCAAAATCATTTTATTTGCTCCGTTTTTTTTAAATCAAATTATAGTGTATATATAATAATAATTGCTACATACTTTCGTGCTCGAGTCTCGTTTTGCAGAAAAATCAATGTATTACGATTTATTTGCTCCGTGCTTTTTAATCCTCGGGAAATTATTTGTTAAACGGCGAACGTGTAAAGAATCATTTTCGCAAAATTTTAAAGATTGTCAGATTTTTCTCAATAACTAACTCTCTTGCTTACGAGCAAAATCATTCTATTTCCTCTATTTTTTTCAAAAATCAAATTATAGTATATATATAATAATAATAATATATATTATTTTTGATCAAATTAGTTAGAAATAATTTTGATACGACGCAAAGTCTCTTTAAGTTTCAATATCCAACTGATGTATTCCGCTTATGTTCGATTAACTTCCGATAGTATTATCAAAGTTCTATTGGCATATTAATCTTTGCTATGCCGGGATTACACGTATTATTATTCGTGACGGTCCCATCTCTGTGAACATGCTCCGAATAACAGGTTCCGCGATAACGCAGATAAGGCGATCGTTCGTCTCGGGTTTTGTTGCCGACGAAGTGAAGGTAGAGGGAGAAGCTTTTTCTTCAATCCCGCGCCCTGAATGTAGCCCGATTTGTGCGAATGATTGATCGCCGCCGTGCGATATCGGCGCAGCTTAAAAGCGCTATATCGCTCCGATAGTGCAAGTGATTCGTGCAAAATTTCGGCTATTAGTCCCATCCCCTCGCTCAAAATGAAGATATTCCTTCGCGTTTGTTCCTTGTGATTGATAACTTCCGATCGTCGGGTCTACCGTGCAACCGATGCATAAGTAACGTATCATTTTTCATTCGCCGCGCGTCTGCACATTTCGTGCCTAATTCCCTTTTCCACCTTCGAGCCGAGCGCGTTTTTAGCCTCCGATGCGGATCGGAGCGAGGTATATATACATATATATATATATATATATATATAGGTAACCGCGCGATGCGCAACCACCTATCTCCGCTCACTGCAATTTGTCAGCATGGATTTACGCGTGTCACGTGTGATAGACAAATTCGCGGGACGTGCGAAGAAGGAATTTCCACGGATTTATTCCTGCGGACGCGACGGATGCACTCCCAGACGAACGAACGTCGGTTTTTGAAGGCTCGACTCGCAAGGAAATTCTGTAACCCGAAGATCGCAATTAAAAATGTAATATCTTTACGAGATAGCACTCTCACGGATTAAAAAAGATTGATTTGATTTTATATGCTACGGCATAATTTTATACTTTTTAATATGGATCTTTTTTGTAATTAAGATTTTTCGTAATTTTAGAATCAAGTCTCTAATAAAATTCAAAATTATACACAACAGATAAAAATATATAATTTAGATATATTAATTATTTGTTTATAGTACACATAATTTTTAACATAATTATTTGTCTATCTTTTTGTAATGAGATTGACAGAAATATTATTTATTCAAATCAAATAACTGATTATAAATCAATCATAATTGGTTATAAATAATTAAAAACCTTGGCGTTTGTTCTTTTAATATGTGTATATGTACTCTCACGGATTAAAAAAGATTGATATGATTTTATATGCCACGGCATAATTTTATATTTTTTAATATGGATCTTTTTTGTAATTAAGATTTTTCGTAATTTTAGAATCAAGTCTCTAATAAAATTCAAAATTATACACAACAGATAAAAATATATAATTTAGATATATTAATTATTTGTTTATAGTACACATAATTTTTAATATAATTATTTGTCTATCTTTTTGTAATGAGATTGACAGAAATATTATTTATTCAAATCAAATAACTGATTATAAATCAATCATAATTGGTTATAAATAATTAAAAACCTTGGCGTTTGTTCTTCTAATATGTGTATATGTACTCTCGCGGATTAAAAAAGATTGATATGATTTTATATGCCACGGCATAATTTTATACTTTTTAATATGGATCTTTTTTGTAATTAAGATTTTTCGTAATTTTAGAATCAAGTCTCTAATAAAATTCAAAATTATACACAACAGATAAAAATATATAATTTAGATATATTAATTATTTGTTTAGTACACATAATTTTTAACATAATTATTTGTCTATCTTTTTGTAATGAGATTGACAGAAATATTATTTATTCAAATCAAATAACTGATTATAAATCAATCATAATTGGTTATAAATAATTAAAAACCTTGGCGTTTTTTCTTTTAATATGTGTATATGTACTCTCACGGATTAAAAAAGATTGATATGATTTTATATGCCACGGCATAATTTTATATTTTTTAATATGGATCTTTTTTGTAATTAAGATTTTTCGTAATTTTAGAATCAAGTCTCTAATAAAATTCAAAATTATACACAACAGATAAAAATATATAATTTAGATATATTAATTATTTGTTAATAGTACACATAATTTTTAATATAATTATTTGTCTATCTTTTTGAAATGAGATTGACAGAAATATTATTTATTCAAATTAAATAACTGATTATAAATCAATCATAATTGGTTATAAATAATAATTGGTTATAAAAACCTTGGAATTTGTTCTTTTAATATGTGTATATGTATAAAAGCAAATTACTTAAAATTAAAATGCAATTAAAATTAAAGTGAAAATTATTATATAAAGCGTAGCTAGTACCTATCAACAATGCAATCGTGTTGTTTGCTACTTTCAAGTTTCGTGGAGCGCGTGAAATTGCGCGAAAGAGCGTTCACCTACACCTACGAAATGGTGATTGCTAGGAAACGCAAGAAAGAAAATTCCGATGAAGCTATAGTCACAAGATTGTATAGGTATAGAACAACGAGCCCGGTAGATACAAAAGAGTTTTGCCCTCTTTATCCTGCCGGGTACGGTTGTTTTCCGTTTGTTACGACTCGACGCAGCTAGGCATTTAGGTTAATTAAAGATCTTCGTATTCCGATAAACTGAGATGAATGAATCATTCATTTACACATAACAATATTACATTGCGCGCGAGCATTCAACTGTAAAACATTCTATTCGAAATTCATCACGAGTGAATGCGAAAACTGATTTTGAGATATAATATGGAAAATATAGCATAACTTTTATTGTCAATATTCCAGATATTGAAGTTGCTCCAATTATTTTCTACTTTACTAAAGTGTTGTAACGTTTTACACATGGTGCAAATTGTGTAATGAAGTTTTATAGAAGATTCTATATTATATTAATCCATTAACATATAATTCAATTTTTACGTTACTCGTAAATGTTATGTATATAAAATATAATTTTCGTAAAATAACTAGACCTTTAGCATATTTATTGCTTATGTCATTTAATTCAGAATTTTATTCACGATATATATATATATATATATATATATATATATATATATTAATATAAATTTATCTATATATTAATATCTATATATTAATATAAATTTATCTATATATATATATATATATATATATATATATAGATCAATTTATATTAATGGTAAATGAAATCACATTAGCTCAATATATACATGAAAGTATATAGGTAGATGAATGATAAAATAAACCGAAAGAAATTGTTTTAATCTGAGGGATCATTCTGTTAAATTAAAAACGTGCTGGTATTAATTAAGAACAAAGTCAAATGACATTGACAACATTTACCTGACGTAGTGGTAGTGATCATGACAATGGCGATGACGCCGAGCACCGTAGCGGTCGGCTGCATTCTCCAACCAGCCATCTCGAAGATCTGCGCGATCTCAGCCCTCAGGAATCTGCTCCATCTCGTTCATCTTCCCCCTACGCAAGAAATGGAACCACTACGTTAATGCTAAATAAAGCTTATTAGCAGTAAATATTATTTTTTAAATTATAATTATAATTGAAAGTTAAAAATTCCGGCAACAATTCTACAATGCCTTTTAGAAAGTTGCGATTGCATAAAAAGAGAGCAAATTTCTTAAATTCTTTTTAATTCTAAAGAAAACGAAATATTCAAATTTCTATTAGATATGTGGAAAAATTTTAAATATATCTTTACACATCTGCGTCTATTTATACTTTTTCTGTTCAGAATAGATAATATTGCTTTTAAATTTGTGACCTCTTTTGGCAAGACAATTTAACTGCGAAACTCGAATAACGCGTCGGAAAAGTGTACATTTATTTTTCGCGTGAGATTATACTCGTCTGGATGGGTTGGCGAAAACATTGAAGAAACACGTGATTCGTTTCGTTTTACGATGGCGAAATCGAGAAGTTCGTTGTGCCAAAGTTTCAACTAGGCATTGTTAAAAAGGATCGTTGAAAAGTAGGCGCGTCGTAACTTTTACTGCGCTACTTTTCAAGTTTTAATCTTCTATTGTAATAGGTGCTGTAACGATTGCGCCATGTTAAATCTTTCTCCATTTCTACGAAAGGAATAAATCGTAGAAGAATGGCCGATGTGTCTTCTGATAAGCAGCACTAGAAATAACATTGATACATGCTAATTTTTCGGAATAATTATTCTAATATAATATAAAAAATTTTACCTATATTTTTTTTCTCGAATATAAAATTATAAAGAGAGAAACTGCAATACAATACTATAAGAAACTAGGTTTTATTAAGTATCCTCTCTTGAAAGTCTTTTGTTCCTCAAATGATAAGAAAGATAACGACTCCATTGTTCCGCTTAATGGTTCTATTAATTACATTTTACTCTTTCGGTTTTTTTTCACATTTTTATATTAATTTAAAAAATAAAAAAACAAACAATAGTTTACATTATCGTTGTGAAAGAATATTGCAGGGGGAAAAGCAAAGTCTGTCACGAGTTATTTGATTCAAAACCGACAAATTGCACCGCGTAACTATAACGTGTAATCTGCCCGTGGCATCACAATAATCATAGTTAACAGGCAACTTCGAAGTTGGCGTTTATAGAGTTAAACGAGTACAGCACCAACGTGTTTCGAGTATTCCTGGAAATGTTGGTTGAGAATCATCTACAGTTTGGCCATATTAATTGGCATGACTAAACGACACGTGGATTACACACAATCTAGATTTATCGCGCAAATAATAGTTCCACACACATGTGTTGACAGAAGATATAACACATAGGAGTAATATTGTTAATGAATTAATCTTCTCTCTTTGTCTTTCTCAGTATGTATGTATACCTAATCGTAAACCATAAATCATCTCTTTGTACAATAGAAGCATATAATTTCACAGTCAAAGTACTGTTACCCTAATTTTTTTTTATTTTTTAAATTATGATTTAAATCTCTCATTTGTAATAGCAATGATTTTTAATAGCTATAATAAATAAATCAATTAAAATAAATCAAAACATGATCGCAAAAGATAAGTAAAAAGGATGTGTTTCTTGTGCAGTATATATTATTAATATTTTTTATATAATTGTAATTTAAAAATAACAAATTATTTTTTCACATACCAAATAAAAAATATTGTATAATATCAAATATACACATATAATAACACGAATAATAACACATGTATAATAGTACAGATATAAATATTTTTAATTATTTTATAGATGATGATTGAACAACTCCAAATCTTCTCTGTGCGTTTCAAAATTTTTTGAATAACTAAAAATTTGATAACTGAAACAAGAAGAATTTATATTGATGCTGTTATAAATATTCAATATTGAACAGATTAAACTGAACTAGAATACTGTGCTGCACGGTGGAATTCACGTTTACGCAGCGTAAGGCAATTATTAAAGAACTACCCGTGATTAAGCTTCCTTCCTTAGAAATATTATCCTCGACCTCGACCACGTTCCCTAATTTGCATCCGTCACCTCTAACAAACACGATTTGCTCGCCTTTCCGACATTGACGGATAAATAAAGTTTTTGAAACAGCTGCAGTTATTAGTATACGTCTTCGCGTACATCATAGATCAGAAATCAAAACGTTTACATTAACTAAAAATAAAAAGGAAACGATAACTTGATTTAAAAAAATAAGCATATCTGTAAAATGAGAGAAAAAAACGTTTGTATAATAATTATAGAAAAAATTAAATAATAGTTTTTATAACTATACAACACATAATATTTAAAACATTATATAATTGTAAAATTCAGTAATCAAATAAATAAAATAAAACAATTTTTTATATAATCGAATAAATAATAATGTATTATTCAAAAACTATTGGCTTTATATTCATACAAATATGTCACTCATTTTTTATTCACCTTACTCTTTTCAAATATGCATTGTATTTACATTTATAAACCGTTATATACAGCATGTTAAAATCGTTTTATTCTGTTTTCCGCAAAATAACTGCGTGTTACTGTTTAATACCCATCAGTTTTTGAGATACGCTGTCGATATATCGACAAAATTCACCACGTTATTACAGTTTCCGTTAATCGTTAGCAGAGTGACGGTATTTATTTTTTGTGAGTGAAAATAGAACAGTATTAAAATTTATTGAATCGTGACGTGTAGCTGCACTCAGGTTGTCAATAAAACAAAATATTTTGTTATTCTCACGCATAAATATAAATTGGCTGTATTAATTTATTTACTTATTCATTTATTATTATCTATTATAGCTTATTTATATATTGTAATATATGAATATTTTTATCTAGCAATAATAACAAGATCAATGCTCAAAGGTCCGTATTGACTTGTTTTAATTGTTTTAAAGTAATAACAAAATTTTTCTTTCATTTTTAATTTTAACATTTATGTTTTATTTAGTCTGTAAATTATATAATTAATTAAATTTAAAAAATTATATAACTAAGTAAATTTGTGAGATTACAAAATAGTGAATCAAATATCGAACTGCCGATCGAATTATTCGATTTGATAATTAGAAAGATGAAAAATTTTTAAACGCTATAATCGTGATTAAATGACACATTTAACATTTTAAAATTAAATCAATTTAGTAATTGCAAACTCAATCAACGAAAACTCCAAATTATTTTTGAATTTTCTCCAATAAAGTAACTTATATAGAATCGCACTAAAATATTGAGTGTCAGATATTATTACATTATCAGTAAGATAAGATCAAGTAATTCTATTTTAAATGACAATTTCATCTATAAATATGTACAGCTAAATCTATAGATGAAAAAAACTAGAAAATTTCCGACTGTCTCAAGCACGCGGTCATCGCATATATGTATAATGAAGTCAAAAAGACTGACGGACAGACGTCCGACGAGATGGCTACGCTTATCGCAGATATGAACAGGGAGCAGATACGACGAAGTCTCACGGCCGACTACCAATTATAATGTTTAATCAGACGAACGCAATTATACGTACGGATATATATACGGTGCGCTACCACTTACGGAGAGTCGAGACGGAACAAGATTCGCCTAGCCGAGAGAAGTCAAATATTCGTACAGATATGATTGCATAATTCCGCTCGGCCTCGCGTGGCATTTCGAGAATTTCTATGTAACACGAAAACTTTGATCTCGAGATTTCTCTTTTGATTTATGAGCTGTCTCTGTGCGAGCGTCGTAATAGTAAATCAACTATTGTACAAACTACAAGTCTTCTTTGCAAGTTGAACGATGGAATTGTGCGTTTAGCTTACTTTTACTTCTACAACACCAAAATGTATACGCCATTCACTCGTAGAGATCAAGGGCTAATCCTTCTTGCAACTTAAAATTATCCCGAATGCTTAATTTTTTTTAAATGTAAACTGATTTGGTTTTCTAATTAGAAACGCAGAAACTCAAATAGACAATTATTTATCAAGAAAGCTCATTTAATTTTCAATTAAGAGTTTCACTGCACGCAAAGTATTTTATGACGATATTGAATTTTTTAATTTTTAAATTCACTATATTACTAAAACAAAAACTGTTAATTAAAAATAAAAAATTTTGGAATTTTTTAACCAATAAATTTATTTACATTATTGTGTTTTTTTCGGATTTCTACTTTTTCAATTGTACTATTTTTTGTGCTTGGAGATATATTTTTTTAAATACGTGTTACGTAAAAGCGAAATTCAAGAATATTTCTTGTGCAAATAACGTTTAACGGCACATTACGAGGATAAAAGCGTATATAATTTAAATTGAAAGTAGCCAAGAAATATCTCGTTAAGTTGTTTGCCTGCGAAAGCTGTTCTTGTCAGTGCAAAGTTTCGTGGATTCTATCCAAGTGAACCAGACGTTTCACTTACTTTGATGTATATTGGAAATGTTGGCAAAACTACGCGCACAAATAAAAAACATTTTAACAATGTTGAGTTATACCGTAATGTTATATAAGTCTAATTGTAAGTTTGAAGAATCACGAATATATCACGTACAATATGGTATAAGTTTGTTGATAGTTTCAACAATGTGCATGTCAAATCATATATTTGACGTTGATGTATGGTGCAATTAAACTTTATTACGCCTAATACTATCTTGCAATTATATTCTTGCTAATAAAACAAAATATAAAGTTTATTTTCAAAAGTGAATGTAATCTTGAAACTTTCTCCGAATCGATATATCATTTTAATTTATATAAGTTTATCTTGCAGCTGACAATTATGGCATCGTACATATATTACACCTTAACAGAAATAAATAGTAACAGTAATAATGAATATAATGAGTATGTGAATATGAATGAAAATAAGTACGCAGTATAATAACTAAATACAAGAATAAAAATAAAATGTCAAAAAGGATCAAATGTTAAAAAAATAAATTGAAAAAATAATTACCCATATATACATAAGTTTTATTAATTAAAAGTATTGTAGGTGAGATGAATCTTTGCTAAAAA